ATCTGAACCAATTTCTAATGTATAAAGTGGGCAGAGGTGAGGATGAAGTGTTGTCTAGCTCCTGGCCCGTGGTGAGCACTCCCTAAGTGCCTGCCACCATGATGATCATCGCCGGGATGCTCAGAGCAACAGCCTTGCTGGAGGGAGATGAGGCAGAGGCTCAGTCTGGCCGTGGTCCCCTCCCAAGGTGCCAGAGGAGGAGGCTACCCCAGCCAGGACTGCTAATCAAGCCCAAAGCCTTAGATCACAGACCTGACCCAGGCCACATCCCTGCAACAGAACAGAGGAACAGAACACGAAGAGGGAAGAAGGGCCAGCCAGACACCATGCAATGTAACGGAGGAACCAGACTATTTATTTTAAAAGCGAAAGTGTCTTCTAGGGAGATGGTCTTTTATTTGGATGTATCTGGGAGTTGTTTATCAGCTTAAACTCATTATGTGAACATATGGTCTTCGTACTATGGTTAAGGGTGGGAAACAAAGGGTGGAAGAGAAAGGACCGACAAATACTAGCTGATGAAATATCATCCCTCAAGTGCCAGAAACCAGGATTTTTGCAGTGATGTCAAATCGGGCTTCCTGCCACGAGGATGGGGCTACCATAAGAATCATCACAAGACTTTAACTCAGGAGGAGTTCTTCAAGGAGGCAGGGAAAGGAAGAAGAAAACCAAAAAAGCAACTTATTGTATTCACCCTTGTCTTCCCCAAAAGCAGACAGACACACACACACACACACACACACACACACACACACACACACACACAAGCACACACACACACCGTGCCCCAGAGCATCAGAGCAGGCAGGAAAGGATCAAAGTTGATCCCTCCCATCTTAATAACAATAATGACAATAATGATAGCAAACATTTGTTGAGCACTTACTAGGTGCCGGGTACTGCGCAAAGGATTTTATGTTTTATCTCATTGATAAAGGAGATTATTGACAATAATCCAATGAAGTATTATTAATCCCGGTTTACAGATCAGGAAACTGAGGCACCAAAGGTCAAAGAACTAACAAGTTGTATAAAGCCAACATTCAAACCCAGGCAGCCTAACCACCATGCAGTACCACCTCTAGAGAAACAGGGAAACAGCCTCAGAGAAGGGAGTGACTCACTCAGGTCAAACAGGTCCGTTTGGCACAGAACAGGGAGAAAACACAAGTCTCCAAACTCCTGGGTCAGTGACTGTCCCACTCCATCCTATTGCCTCTCAGTATGTACACACACACATACATTCACACAACCAGGGAGCATGTTTTTGCTCATCTCCAACTTGTCCAATTCATTAATTAAGTCAACAGTCCTGGGTGCAGACAAAGGGCAGGGTTGGACCTTAAAACCACAAGCGCCAAGATGAAAGGTCTGCTTTGGCGGCTGCATGCACGTGGCTCACCAGCTCACTCTCCCTCTCTTTCTAAAAAGTGTTTCATTATCTTCCTCCCTCCCCTCGGAGTGCTGATATGGGTCCAAAGTGCCAGCCCGTGCGGCAGGAGGCGCCCAAGCTGGCACATTTGCACAACGGCATCAGGTTGCAGAATTGGCCGCTCCACCGGCGTCATCTGCTCTGGGGGACCAAAGTGCTGTTTTCCAAGCCACCCCCCTTCCCTGCTGCATCCCAGCTGAGTGTGAACAAATGTTCCCGGTTTTCCTTCTCAACAGCTGATGAACTAGGCAAGAAGAGCATCTCCCCGGAAAGGGGGATCCCGAAAACATGCAGCCCAGCCACGGAACACTGGCTCTTCCCAGGGAAGAAGAAGAGGGACTGGGAGCCCAACAGGCAACACGAGGAAGGCAGCAATGCTCACTCGAGCTTACAGACAGATGTGGGGCTCCCAAAGGCACCAGTCACCAATATTAACCCCCCCCGCCCACACACACACACACACACACACACACACGCACGCACGCGCACACACACACTCCAAAATACCGCATGTTTGTTAGCACTAAAAGAATGTGAAGTAGGACTGGAGCCCTGGTTTTTAGAATCTGCCTAGTTTACTCACAGAGAGACTTTGCTGTGTAGGGGAGTAGTGGGGCAGGGCAGGGCGGGACATCCAGGAGAGGTGCCCTCTGTCTCATGGCCATCCCATATGTCTCAGAGTAGAACTGTGCTCCATGAGGTTTTTAAGGCTGATTTTTTGGAAGTACATCACCAGGCCTTAATTCCGCAGTACCTCTGGGTAGACTTGAACCTCCACCCTTTTGATTGGCAGCCAAGTGTGTCAACTGTTTGCACCACCCAGGAACTCCTCCCTAAAAAGTTAAGACTCTCCTAATTTCAAATTGCAAGGCCTCTCAGTATCTCCTGGGCCAACACGCTCATTTTGCAGACTGGGAAGGCAAGTTCAAGAGGGGAAGTGACTCAACCAAGGCCACAATGATTATCCAGAAGAGTCGGATTTCAAATCTACTGTTTTCTCCATTCCCAGCCCCCTCCCACAAAGTGCCACCATAATCCCTTGGCTCAAACTTCTCACACCTGTCTCTGCCCAGCACCCTATTCCCAGTCCATCCCCCTAGACCCTTAAAACCTCATTAAGTAATTCAGAGAGCTATTTCCAAGCTGACATGAAATTTTTTAAAGGGACAGGGTCCTTCCTGGAGTCAAACGCAGGTGTCCTAACCTCAACTTCAGATTTATTTCTGCTTCTAGAGAGAACCCTGGAGCTTTCATTTATATACTGCCATTTCAGACCCAGGTGGAGTAAAAATGTTCCAAGGGCTGGCCTTGTGAGTAAATTGGGGGGCAGGGGAGACAAGGAGACAGAGTGCCCAAGACTTGAAATTTTGCTGAATCAAAGATCTTGTAGTTTGCCTGGGAGAAGTCTGAGTCCACAGGCGGTACACTAAATTCAAAGGCTGACATTAAATCCCTCTTCTCTTCAGTGAAGATGGGGTAGGGTGTGGGGGCAGAAAGGATGGGTTCCCAGGGCAGGCGCTTCTCCTCAGCAGAAAAACAAAAGAGGCTTTAAAAACAAAACCAAACAAAAAATCTCCTTTTGTATTCTGGCGCCATGGAATGTCTTGAAGACTAACCCAGAAGACAGAGGCTTCTCCACCCTTTCCTCTTTCTCTTCTCTCCTCCCCCTCTTCTATTCAGAATAAAAATAATGCTGATCCTTCTTTAGGGCAGCTCAGTCCTGGAGCAATTTGGTAGCCTCCAACAAAAACAGTTGGCAGGCTACAGTGAACTCCAGCACCTCAGCTCTCTGTCAGGGACCGCCCATTTCCATCACCTTTGCAGAGGACTCAGAAGACAAGAAAAAGAGAGGGGTTAGGGAGGGCTGTCCAATGACCACACATTTTCTAGCCAAGAGAAAGACGAAAACTTCTGCTGGCTAGGATGAGGCCACACCACACACTCTCTGATTTGTTCATTTGTACTCACTTGGGGTGCAGGGAGGAGGGAGACAGGGAATTGGAGAGAAAGATGAGGCAACAGTCCCTTCAACGTCCCTTCAAGGTCGAACAGCCGGCATGTGACAAAGATGACAGGATACTCTTCACAGAGGCCCTCGTGGGTCTTGCTTCCCAAGGCCTCAGCAGGGGCCCTGGGGTCAGACAATGGGGACACATAGCAGGTTTCCACCACTAACTGTAGAATGGGTGAATTTGGCCTGCGGACCCCAGACCGTGTGTGGGAGTCGGGTGGGCTCTAGCTGACTGCTGAGAAAGCAACATTACAGCTTGGACTGCTAAAGTCTTTAAGGGGCCCTGATCACCTCCATCCTGAGAGAACCGATAAGAGGGGGATACATCCTAAGACCCTCATTCTGACCACACCAGGTAGGGATTTGGCCAGACTCAGGAAAGGAAGGTGCAAAACTTTCACAAAAAAGGATGCATTCAGTGGTTTGGGGTTCATCACCTCCAAGAAATCTCAAAGTTAATTATCTGTCCCACTTCCTCCACACCAATTCGCTGTTAGGGTAAAGGTTTTTTTGGTTGTTTTCCTTCGGATGAATTTTTATTCACCCACCAACTCTGCAACCACCCTCCCCCCACCCCGCCCAAACTAAAACCACTTCACCACAACCAACCATTCCAGCACACGGCGCAGTTACAACTGGGGCAACCCTAGCCTCACACTTGGATCCTCTCCCCTAGTCCGGCTTGGGGTTGGAGGGTCCTGGGGCAGGCCCGCGTGTTTTGAGGGTCTGTGGTTCGTACGTCGTGGTTTTCCGTGCATTTGTCTTGTAGGAGCTGGTACTCGCCTTCCTGTTGGCGAAAAGGCCGGGGAAAGGCGCCCCCTTGCGGGAGCCAACTCACCTCAATTCAGCCAGGACAGACAGCCGGCGCGAACCCACCCGACCGGAGCAGCCCTCAGAGCGGACTCCCACTACACTCCCTAAATCTGGACGTGCCCAAGCTTCGGATCCACAGAGCACACCACGGAGCCTCTGCTCCTCCAAAGCTTGCACATCTCGTAGCGGTTAAGGGGGGCCCCGGATGTAAGCGCGCGCCTCCACCCCGTCCTGCGGCCAAGGACTCCGAAGGCAGCCCGTCCTCAGGTGCCCCTGCTGAGTCCCACCACCCCCTCTGCCCGGATCCCCGTCCTCTAGTCCCTACCCGCCCTTCTCCAGGGCAGCGTGGTGCGCACTCTCCTCCGGGCGCGCCCTTACCGAGACTCCGAGCCCTGAAACCACACCTGCCAGCCCCCCGCCATTCCCCTGACGCCCCCTCACCCACCACTCTGGGAGCCGTGCGCCGACTGGGCTGCACCTGTCCGGGACGAAGCCCCCAGCCCAAGGCCAGTTCGGGGCAGGGGTCTGAGGCGAGCACGTCGACCCTGCCCGCCACCCCCAATGCTAGTTTGAGAAAAACTTGGTTCCTGAGCGTCCCCGGGACCGTCCTGGAGCCCCCCCGCCCCCATTCCACTATCTCCACACCCCCACCCCAGGTCTCCCGGTCACCCGGGGAAGCGCGTGAGTCTCCAAGTCCCGGAGGCGCAGCTGCAGACCGCGCGGAGGTGCGGAGGCCCCTACCTTCCAGCGGCGGAGGCTGCAGCCGGACCCACGCCAACTCCCGCCGGGGCCGCGGGGAAACTTTCCCCGGGCGGAGAGCACGCTCGCAACTTGCTCCGCGCCGGCTGCCTTCCTGGCCGTGGCGGCGTGGCCGGGGACCCGCGGGCGCTAGGCGGCAGCGGCGACAGCGACAGCGGCACTCGCTCGGGGAGCGGGCCGGGCTCGGGCGGCCTCGCGCGGCTTGATGTGGATCGCTCGGCGCTGCATCCGCCGCGCAGCCTGGAGCCCCCGAGACGCCGGCAGCAGCTGCAGCCGCCCGCCAGCCGTCGACTCCACCCACCTCCCAGCCACTGCGCCGTCCCTCCCCTCCCCGCACTCCCTCCCCTCCCCAAACCTCTTCCCCTCGGTCTCCAGTCGCCGCCGCCGCGGCTGCTGTGGCGGCCGCGGTGGAGGCACGTCTCCACCAGAGAGCTGCCCCTCGCCGCCTCCCTGCTTCAGCTCGGTATCCAGGCCTTGCTCTTGGAGTCCCTGAGGCCACCCTCTGCCCTTCTCTCCTTCCTTCACCCCCTGAGCGCCTCCCCGCTTTGCTCCCGGGACCTCGCTTCCTTTGAATTCCGAAGAGCCGCTGGGGAAGTGGAGAGAATGGCAAGCTCGACCCCGAGCATTTATTCCGGGGAAACTTTCACGCTAGCCCCCTTCACCTGACTGCAGGGCTGGGAAGCAGGATAATCCTCCATCCAGACCTGGCTCCTCGGCTTCCCGCTCCCCATGCCGGGAGGAGCTGGTCTGGGAGAACCTGTTGAAAATCTGGAAGTCACCCTCTGTGGCTGCCTTTGACTATTACAGATAACAGAGGCGACTGCGGGGCTGCAGGGGGGAGGGGCCTGACCCCAGACCAGATGCAAATGGCGCGGCTGCCAGGGGCCTGTCCTCTGTCTCCAACCTCAGGACTAGGGGCTCTTTGAGAGGAGGGGGCAGGGGTGAGGGCTTATTTTTCATCTTCGTACTACTGCCACTGCCACACATCCCGTTCCCCAGCCCCTGACACACGACCTCACTAAGACACTTCACCTCCGATCCTCCTGAACAGCAGCCGGGCTCTGCCCCAGACAAAATGGGAGAGCGGATAAAAGCAGATAGCCCAGGTCAACGCGCTTGGCAACTGCCCAGAGGAGTGGGACTCTGGTTGCCCACTCCTCTTTGCCTGGCACTTCTTCTTTTGGGTCCCAGCTCTGAAGCTTAGACACCAAATTTCTGCAGCACCCCGGACACTCAAGCATGGACAAGCTCTGCCGGAAGCCCTGCATGTGGCCCCTTTGCCAACGGATTTACACTGAAGAGTAAGTGACTGATAGGAGCTGAACCTACTCCCATCTTGGATATAAACGTTGACAATGTGAAGCCATAGGTCAGAGTTTCAAGGGCCAGGAAGTCACTGGCAGGAAAAGGAGAGGTCCCTCTAAGGACTGAGGATGTCTGGCCCTTTCAACCATTTCACTGAGTCACTGGATAAGTTGAGGGGATGGCTGATGGGGTATGCATGTGGCTGCAAGGAAGAGCCCTGGATGGACAGTTTTATAATGGACCTAGAGTGAGCAATGCTTAACCCAAGGGAGAACATCCCTAATAGTGGGATTTCTGTAAAATAAGGACGAGGGAGACTCTCAGACTCCACATTCATCCCTTCAGCTGCCAAAACAGTGTTCAGGGGAGAAGCTGCCCCTATGGGCTAAGAAATCCCACTGGCTCACACTGTGGGATACTGTTGGAAGAAGCTGTCTGTGTGGAAATCCTCAGATAAATTGAAAGAGAAAAAAAGTGAGAACCTACAGTGAGGGCCCTGGGCCTGGGAGGTGGGGGCCAGAGACCAAAGAAGGATGTTGTTGTTAGTGCTGTTGAGTCAATTTCAACACGTAGTGACCTCATGTAACAGAGTAGAACTGCCCCCATAGGGTTTCTTAGGCTGTAATCTTTATGGGGAGCCCATGGTGCAGTGATTAAGAGCTTGGCTGCCAATCTAAAGGTCGGTAGTTGGAATCCACCAGCCGCTCCTTGGAAACCCTATGGAGCGGTTCTACTCTGTCCTATAGGGTCACTATGAGTCGGAATCAACTCGACGGCAACAGGTTGGGTTTGGTTTGCTTTGCTTTGGTTAATCTTTTTGGAAGCAGATCACTAGGTCTTTCTCCAATGGAGCCAGTAGGTGGGTTCATACCACCAACCTTTAGGTTAGCAGCCAAGTGCTTAACCATTGTGCCACCAGGGCTTGTTATAAAGAAGGATGCTTGGACTTAAGCATGCAAAGCCTCTGAGCATCTGCGGTGGCGGTGGCGGGGGAAGAGGGTGCTAGGGAGGTGAGGACAGAGCAGGATGGTTGGACCATGAGACATCCCGCTGGGAAGATAACTCCTGCTCCAAGTCAGAGTTTCTCAGACCTCAATCATTTCCCTGCCTGCAAGGTGAATTTTGCCCTAACTGTGCACCAGATAAGACCCTCTGCTTAATAGCTTTCTTTAAATCAACTCTTTTTTGTTTTTTTTACTTAAATATGCCTGTTTTTAAAAAGAAATGTTTTATCATTGCCATAAACAGAAAGCCAGCATCACATTACTATAAATAGAAGATAACCATAAAATAAATATAATGAAAATAAAACAGTGCTATTAAATTCTATCAAGATACTGCTGCCTAAGGAAGGTGATGAGCCTGAGGACCACTCCCTCTTGAAAAGGGAGATTTGCAAGGGTTGGAAAAATGTTAAAGACACATTAGCAGCAAGCTGAGACTCTCCCTGTGGTAGTCAGAATGGTCGAAACAGAATCTGAAACGGACTTCTCACCAGGGCAGAAAGGGTTACAGAAGGCCCATCACTGAAATGACCTACCTTCTCCTGGAAGATCTCTGATGTCCCACATTTAGGGAAACATATGATTCTAAGCGTATTAAGTAGAAAGTACTGTTTGTCAAGAGCTAGGAACCCCAAGAGTTTAGTCCTGGACAAGATATGGTTGACCTGGTTACAGAGAGTCCAGTTCATGCCTTGGCCTCACTGGGGGGTTTTGGGGAAATCGTTCCCTTCTCTCACCTTGGTGTCGCCACCTATAAAACAAGGGGCTTGAGCAAATGGCCTGTAGGATCCTTTTTATGGCTTTTGATGAAAGGAAAAAAGGAACCAAGGAAATGCATGTCAGGAAAGTGAGACGCAGAAGGCTTCATGAAGGAGAGTAGGGGTGGGAGGGGAGAAGCTGGGGAAAGGACAGAGTGTTGGTGGTGGACCAGTGGACAAGGGTCAGCAGTCCACAGGAGGGGTAGAAAAGCCAGTGGTGACTGATTGGAGTCTAGATTGGCCTGGCCCAGAAGGTTCTAGACTCCCCATTTGCCATTCTGGGAGAAACTTTGTTGAGAATTTCTTGTAATCCAACTACTTCGTTTTACAGATAGGAGAAACTGAGGTATGGACACAGACTAGATCCTAGTCATCCTCAGAGAGCTGGGAATCGAACCTAGGCCTCCTGACTCCCAGGCCAGGGCCCTCTCAACTCCCCTGTGTTCAGGAAGCTAGTAGAGATGGTTCTTTTGAAAATACTCACCTCTCCTTGAAGGGGCTCTTAAACTTTGTTTTCTCCAGCATCTGGAAAAACATCGAACCGGCCCTAAAGCCCCAAACCTGCCAGAGTGTGGCCAGCGCTGGACAGTGAGGGGCTGTGCCCCAGTCACCAGGCACAGAACACCTGGAGTGAACTCCATGCACTGGCATCCTGAGAGCACTAACGGGGGCAAGATGCAGGCCGAACAGCCCCAGGCCAGGAGCCTAAGAACTCTGGCAATCATGCGCAATTCCCTTCCCCTCTTTGGTCTCGGTGATCCCATCTGTAAAATGAGGCATTTGGACAAGATCAGTGGATTTCACTGTGCAGGTAGGTCCAGCTCATTCGTTCCTTAAGTGCCATGGGACCAGTACCAGTTGCATTGAGTCAATTCCAACTCATGGTGATCCCGTGTGTGTCACAGTAGAGCTGCGCTCTATAGTGTTTTCAATGACTGATTTTTTGGAAGTAGATCACCAGGCCTTTCTTCCGAGGCACCTCTGGGTGGACTCGAACCTCCAACCTTTGGGTTAGCATCCAAGCGTGTCAACTGTTTGCACCACCCAGGGACTCCCAAGCTCCAGCTTCAGCCAGAGCAGGTTCCTTTTTCATTGCTTTGCATAATAAGATTTCAAGGAGAAAGTGGCCTTATACCGGAAAAAAGAAAGAGTCTGAAACCACTAGGAGAAGGACCTCTCGCTCTTAACTTTTAAACTTTCTGGCGGATTAGACTGTGAGCTCCTTAAGGGCTAGAGGCCTGCACTGGTCATCTCTGGGTCTCCAGGACATGGCAGAGTCAGCACTCAGCAGGATATTGGATGCCACTTCCCACCTGTTCCACCTTGAGCCAGTCACTTAACCTCTCTGAGCCTCAGCCGATGCATTGCTGACATGGGAATCGTAACACCACCACTGGCATTGGGTGGCTGTGAGATTTCCGTGGAAAGCTCTTGGCACAGTGCCTGGCACATAATAAATGCTCAGTAAAGTTGAGCCTGATGCCAGCATGACTGGCTGGCCGGCTGGCTGCTGCTACACAGGCCAGAGCCTTACCCAGGAGGCGTGCTGACCTCACATCTAGCTTTTCTAAGGACATCTGCATTTTAAATATTTAATCATTGCTTCCCTTATTTTTTTTCTAAATTGTATCTCTTTTTATATGTAAATTGCAATCATTTCCCAAAAAATGACAGTTCATTAAGTGTACAACTGGTGTGATTGAATTTGTTTATCTTTGCAATGATTTTCATATAAATAAATTCACGAATCTTAGGAACACCTTTTGTGACTCCAAGCCAAGTGAGCCAATTGGGAGTTTGAAGGACGTGGTCTTGACCATGCAGGGCCTGGACCATTTGCAGGGATCTCCCTACTTTCTCTCTTTTTCTCCCTCCAACAATCTACCCACAGGCCACGGCCTGGCCACCAAGGTCCTCCTCCACCCCCAGGAATGCTGCTGGCTGTGAGCTGGGGAAGGAAAGGATGGTATTCGCTCCTCCTCCCCTCCTCCTGTGCAGGAAAGGAGCTGGAGGTTGCATGGCTCTGCTGGGAGGGGCCACGGTCCTAACTTCCTCTGTGGGGTTTGTGGCTGGGCTTTCCAGAAAGCAGGCCCCTGGGAAAAGCAACGGGAGATCCTGCCTGGTAAGAGGCTGCTGAAC